TAAATTATATTTGTTTATGAATACGGATTCATTTCGAATTTGATATGTTAGAGTATAAATAAATATTTTATTAATTAATTTTATTATAATCTTTTTATTATTAATAAATCTATTTTGAATAATAAAGCTTGATTATAATTCTTATATTGGTGAATCTTGAAGTTTATATTGAATAAAATAAGCTTTAATTTCTTTATTAGTATTGGGATCAGATTCCTTATTATAGTCTTGATTGGGATTTTTGTATTTAATAAGAAACTATTTAAAATCTTTGTTAAAATTATTATTAATTCTTTTAAATTGTTTTTTGTATTTATATCGTGATTTGTTACACTTCTTCTTACTATATTAAATTGATTAATAGTTATCCTTTTTATAGATAAAATATCTTTTTTTAGTTTGTAATTTAAATAATTATTAATTATTTTATTTAAAACCTTTATTCTGATTATATCCTCCTCTATATTAATATTTCTAATTAATATAAAATATCATATTCCCATTTGAATAAGCTAGTTCCTATATTATAATAATTAAATAAAATTCTTTAAAGAGATTTGATATATTATTAACTAGATGAAAATAAATTAAAGAGTATACTGATATTAATATATATACATTAATAATCTTTTAATAAAATAAATTATCTATTCTAATTATAGTATTAAATTCTTTATATAAATAATATAGTCTTATTACTATTTGTTATAAATAATGAATAATTAATTTCCTATTATTTTTAGATTATATTATTATATTTTTTAATATAACAGTTTTTTATTATTATATAATATTCTTTTTATATTCAAAGTCTTTAAATATAATTATAAATAAATTGCAAATCTTTTATATTAATATTAGTATAATTTTCAAATTTGTATGATAGAAATCAAGTATTATATTGATAAGTATAATAGAAAATGCTTTTGGAAATAGATTATTAGATATATTAATTTGTTAATAATTATTAAGAAATATATTATATTTATAAATAAAATTGTTATTTTGCTTATTATATTTATTATTCTTATTATAAAGTTTTGTAAGATTTCTAAGAAATTAATTGATATTTATAATTCTTGATGATAGATTTAGAAAGATCTTTAGAATACTATAATCATATTTTGAATTATTTTCTTCTTCTCCTTCTTCTATACTATCTTTGCCTCCACTATTGCTATTCCTGTTATAACCATTTTGTAAATTCTCACCATAACCACCTTGTAGATTCCCACTATAACCACCTTGTAGGAAACTATTTCCTCTACCTCTATTACCTCCTCCTTCTCCTCTACTCGAATCATTATTACTACCAAATGAATCACCAGATAGTTAATTATCTTTCTCCTATAATAATAGATATAATTATAATAATAAAGGTTTAAATTATTAAAAAGATATTTCGGATGAAACTATTTATATAGAATTAATTATAAAAATAATAATTTCTTCTATTTATAGAATAAATATATAAATAAATTAGATTTTTTTTTTTATAGAAATCCAATATTAAATTAAAAAATAAATTTAGAATAATAAAGTATTAATAATTTTAATAATACTTTTTATCTAATATCAATATCTTTTTTTTATTACTTAAAAAACTAAATCCTGAAATTATTATAATTTGAAATAAAATACTTGATAATTATAATAATTTATATTAATTGAAATCTAATAATTCAAACTAATTACTTATTTAAAATACTTCAGATTCTTTTAATAATATATATATAAAAACTCGAATATCTTTTTTATTTATTTTTTTCTATATACTTTTTAATCGAAATATAAATCCTTTTTTTATAAATATATTTATAATCTCTTTATCTAATTATTCTTTATATAATAATCAAATTATATTAATTAAAATATTATAAATAAATTATATTATATAGATTTTATATTTTATAATAAATATACTATATAAACATAATTTATATCTTAGCTTATATAAAAAACATATGCCGATTACTTAAAAATATTCTAAATTGAAATATTCGAATTTATGAAAATAATTTGATTATAACTTTTTGTTGTAATACTTTGATTATTGATATTTGTAAAATTTATATTTACAAAAATCCCTAATCTCTTTTATATTTATTTATTTTATAAAATCAATTAGATTATCTTACTATCTCTCAATTATTATATTAAAATCATTAATTATAATAATTGATGGTATAATGGATTCTGTTATACTTCCAATATTATTCTTACATTTAGTTTTATACTCTATAAAGTTGTTTTTATAAGATTCTATTATATTAACAAATAATAAATAAATAATAAAATGAAATAAAGTAAGATACTTAAATATAACTTTATCAAACCCAACAAAATTATATTTTATTTATAGAAAATAATACTTAACTCAAGCTAATAGCTATTAATTTATATTCTTCAATATATATTACTTCAAAAAATAAAATATAAATTAAGATTAAATATAAAGATTATTGCTATATTATTAACTAAATTTATTTATTAATATTAAATCATATTGAATTAATACTAAATATAAGAATTATTACTATATTACTAACAGTCTTTATTTATATAAAGACAGGTATCAAACCATATTGCTTTGATACAAGAGCTTATATCTCTTTAAAGAAATACTAATTTTAGTTACAAACCTATATTGCATTTGAAATTAAAATATCAGGCTTCTGATTTGTAATATCACTAATTAGTATTAATATTATTATAGGGATAATAAAATAATATAGTATTAATGATTTATATTGTTGTAATATTGCTTAAGGTTCTAAAAGCTAAAGGCTACGAACGTATATACTATAGTGCGGGGGCGCTAGCGCATGCGCTAGCGCGGTCACATGATCCCTGTCCCAACAGAAATATTAAGGGGATATTATCTTTATCTTTAATAATATAAAATAAATATATTATTAATATTTTATAAATATTACTTAAAATAAAGTTTATAATTACTTTACAAAAAAGATTCTTTTTTTCTTTTTCTTTTTAATTTTTTTTTAATTTTTTTATTTTATTTCGAAAGGACATTAATAACATATTATAAAAGGGGATACATTATAAAAGATATCTTATAGGTATTTTAAAGAATTTAAATTATAAGGATATTTTCTTTTTTTTTAATTCTTTTAAATTCAATTTTAATAAATAAGATAAAAACTATAGTGATTTGAATAATATTGATTATATGCCATTAATATAATATAGGTGTATCATAATCTAAATAAGATCTGAAAACTTTAAAGCTTTTAAAGTTATTTTTAAAAACTAAACAATAGTTTATTCTAAAAAAATTAAATAAAAAGAATTATTAGAATCAATATAAGATAAAAACTAGTATAAAATATAGATATAAATCTAATAATAAAACTTTTCATTAATTTCTTCAAAACCTTTCTTTTGAAATTATATATATATAAAAACTCTTTGTTTTCAAATTAATAGTTGGTTTGATATCGATTTTATATTGATACCTATAATAAAATTAAATATTTTTTTAATATTAATAATATCATTTAAGGTTTAATTAGTTATTAATTTATTAAAACCTTGATAAATTATTAATTCTAATATGTGAAATATTTATAATTAATGGATTTATCAATTAAAGTTATATCATATTAAATATAAATTTCAATTTTTGAGATAATTCAAAAAGAATTATATTAATTGATTCCTTAAGTTTTAATTAATAATTAGTTTTCTTTTTCTTCTATTTTATTAATTCCTTTAAAGTTGTATATTGAATTAAATATTTTTATTAATATTATAAAAACTAATTAAAGCTATATTAGTTATACAATTTAAGCAAAATAAGCTTAAGCTTAAGTTTGAGCTTAAACTTTAAATAATAAATTCTTATTAAGCTTTTCTTACTTATCTTGTTTATTCTAAAATGATCTACACATTATAAGGAAAACTATTTGAAAAAAGATTTTAAATATTAATATACTTCCTATAAATTTTTTTAAAATAAATCATAAAAATAAATAAATAAAGCTAATCTTAAGGGTTATTTAATAATATAATTTATTTTATAAAAAATCTTTAATAAGATTAAATTCAATCATTTTTTATAAGATTTCTATAAATACATTATATAGATTCTAAAATTTCTTTTTTCATTAAACAAAAATCTATGTTTTTAGGGTTTATGCCAAATGATTCAAATCGGCCTCAGTAGCCCGCAGAGTTCTACTTTGTGAAAAATGACATTATGAACTTATATCTTTCGTGCATACACAATGTTTGTGTAATTCCTAGGTAACTTGGTTAATTATCAGATTGATTAGGTAAGTTAAGGATATTGAGGTGAGTGAGTCTCGAGTGTCATGCTAGGAGGCTGTCGACGTACTAACTCGTGACTTGAGTCATGTTCAACGGTGGTGCCAAGATATCATCTAGACTAATAACCTTACCTTACTCTTCCTCAGTTCAGACTCCATCACTCTCATTCCTCCGTTACCTGTGATTTGATACTGCATCTCATAGATTCACTCTGCATCAAACTTACTAGCAAGAGTCTCCCGTAAAGCCTCCTCCAAATTCGATCAAAAATTGACGTGATATTCATAACATTAATAACTTGTATTTCACAGAGAATTGACATTGCGCTCTTGAATACCTTCAGAAAGTACGCTAAAGGTGGTTGATGCCTTAGGCATAGAAAGGGTATTCCAACCACTCGATTCATTACATATGAACTTGGATATCATGTGTATCCTATGTTTAACAATCTATGTAAGGATTCAACATATTTTCAATTTTGGATACTCCATCTCCTTCTTTTCTTGTTAATAAACACTTGCATTCGAATGTTTCAGAAATACTCTTGATTCGTTATTTTGATACGGAGCTCCATTGACGAATGCCTGCCTCTAATAAATATCAACACAGCCACGATCAAACACACACAAATACACCCGGGCACTCATCAGGAGCGATTTCTCCAGTTTATCGTTCTTTTACTTGAATCCTTCACGAATTGAGATATAAAAATGAATCGCCGATCCCATAGAAAGTCGAGGAAGGGATGTTTGCAGTGTAAATCAAGACATATCAAGGTTAGTAGTACACAGAAAGTGGAGCAAAACTCTTGCTTTTATTGCCCATCAACCCGTCGAGAATATGCGGCTAATATTTGTGAACGATTCTTCTCATAGTGTGATGAAACTCATCCAGAATGTGTCAATTGCAAGACGGCGAGTCACACATGCTCTTATAAGATTACTGCAAGCACCAATACCAGCAAGGTCACGACCCCAGAATCAACATTTACCAATTCACCAACTCCAACTTCCCAAAGTGACCCACAAATACCACATGGGCCCTTGTTGCAACCGGAACCTCCATCATTGCCCCCATCATTACCTCAGTCATATGTGAACTTCACACATCTAGAGCTGTTACAACATTGTTATGAAGATCGAGAATTTCTGTGGGATGGGCAATTTCGAGACCATACTTTCAGGATAATCAAACATGCTCAAAGGGCCCCGTTTCTTATGTACGAGCTTCTTGCTTGCTCAGCACTGCATTTGAGTATCATTCGTCCTGATCAATTCCAAATTTATCACGATGAATCTACAATATTGCAACAACAATCAATCAAAATGTTTAACGAATCGGTACAAGAGGTGGATCATGAAAATCTGATCTCGGCCTTTGTGTATTCCGGAATTTTGGGACTTCATTTCTTTGTGGACACATTTTCTATGCCTGGTTCGGACTTGAATCAATTCATTGATAAACTAGTTCAAGCGATTAAATTGATGCGTGGAGTGAGAGTTTGCTTCCTTGGGTGGTGGGATGTTTTAATGGAATCTGAGATTCGTGAACTATTGCAATTTGGCAATGCAGATTTGGAGCACACTGATGAATATGTGGAACATCTTCTCGCACTTCAAGAAAAGCTACCTGAGATTCCTGGTATGGAGGAAGCGGAACTCGGGGTGTTGCGTGATACTATACATCAGTTAAAATGGGTGTATATATCAAGTTTCTTTGAGATTCATAACGGAAGTCCTCAACCTAGAATGATTACCACATGGCCAATTACGCTGCCAAAGGAGTATACAGATCTTCTCGATGAAAGAAGGCCCGGAGCATTGATTGTACTAGCGTATTATAGTATTCTACTACACGTTTGTCGAGACAACTGGGCAGTAGGCAATGCTGGGAAATTACTGTTGGCAGTGGTCGAAACTTATCTTGGTAGAGATTGGGAATCATGGTTGGAATGGCCGAGATCGAAAGTCCCTGAAACTGTTTGAACTTTGCAAATTTAAATCAGACGAAGAATGGAAAGTTCTAAAGAAGGATATCATGAAACATCAGCGCAAGAACGGTTTGGTATGGATCGCACATGGCGGTAGTCTTCATTGACGCCATTGATTAACATGCAGGACCCGGGAGAATATTTCGAGCGTGGCTTTTAAATCATTTAGATGTATTCGCTGGAGATGCCATATATCAAAATCAGTATGGTCTCCTCGATTCAAATACAATAGATAAAAGCCATATAATCAGGTAGAATCTCCCTTTCATGCCAAAACAATAACAATGTCAAAAAACATCATAGAAATTGTCAAGACAAACCTTGGAACAGCCCATCCATACAGGATGCAACTCCTCCATTCGCTCCATTCCATAACCCACCTGAGGCGACACATCTAGAGCCAGATATATTCTAACCATCATATATCTTCGTTAAAAATCACAAGCGCACTCGATCTGGCGGAGTTGATAGCTTCAGCGATTAAAAATGGGTCCGGGGAAGCCAAGCTTCTAACGTGAGGGGTTTGAAACCCTACAATTCGTCAGAATTGACAATCCAGCTCAGCGTTAAACAAACTGAGATGTGCTCGAAAGGTACTTATGCTGCCAGCAAGGAAGCAACTTTGGAGCTAGATTTACATACCACAAAATAGTAAACTACAAAAGGACCAATAATCTGGGTTTCTTAGCAGAGGGGTTGTAACTCTCTGTTCGTAGCCGTATGGGTATACTGCAGTATTCTATGCTTCCCCGGTTAAATCAAACAACACATCACTCGACCGTTTTGTCTTGGCCAGTACGTGAAAAATCTAGAAACAACATTCAACTCCTTGTAAGAACAGCAGATCTCTGATACGTGAAAGGGATTTTGGCCCCTCGGCCCCCTAATATTCTCTATCACAATCATATGGCGTCCGGATAAAGTTATAAACAAGGATAGCTTATCCACCACGCACATGAAACGTAGTAACCTACTAGGTAGATCATGGATATGGTCAGCAAGCTGTGCCTCAATGCCACCACTTGTACCACGATGCAGAAATCTCGATGTTTTTTCAATTTACGAATACAACACCGCTCGAGCACACCCGATCGATATTCAAAACTTCAATATCCCATTCTTCGAAATGACAACAAAACTTGTCAGCAAGCAACATGGTATCATATAAGATGCGGACGAGCGGCCGCCTCTGGGCACGCTCGGCGTGCATACAAGGTCGTCCAAATCATTCAGCTGGAGACCAAAATCCCTGCAGAATCCTTCGAAGCATCGTGAATAGACCAATCACATCAAATGTCAGATCCTAAAATATCATTGTGCAGCGAAGGATCCATTTTAGAGCCGCATTCTTTCGTCTTATCTATGGGTAGAATACTGAACCTTATAATCCCAGGGCTGAGATAAAGATTACCTACTGGATTGATATTTCCTTTAAATCCCATTATTGGATTTTTACGTATGTTGATGAGAATTCTGTTTCACTATTAAGTTCTCAAAATCCCAAGTTCAAAGTTCGAAGTATTGGAAGAGAGAAATTCATCACCCATCGTGGTATCCGAACGATCAAAATGTCACATGCTTACGATCCCATAAATACCTCTCCCCAAATCGAATTGACCAGTCCCACATCCACCAGCACACTCCGTCCCTCTCCACCCACCCAAACCTCCAGTAGTAATCTTGCCCACTCCAACAGCGCCGCCACCTTACTTCCTCACGAGCAAAATTATTCACATTTCGAAAGTCATTTTCATAAACCCGAACAATCCTTTACCACCGTGCCTTATAAATCCAAGACCGGAAAACAGTTTTGGCATATCTTGTTGAAAAGCTTGGCACGATGGCTGATTACGCTTGTATTGTGTATTGCTTATTTACTGGCGTTGAGGTATTGGAATAAGAAGGGTACGGTGACGGAAAGTTCCAAGAGAATTTTCAATGCGATTACCACGGGCATTAGTATTGCTCTGGGCATCAATATTGCTACTTCGTTGAAAGATATGGCGTTGAATGCGCGTTGGGCAATTTTACATGCTAGGAAGAGAAATCTTTATGAAGTAGGTGGAAATTCTGCATTTTCGATGTTTGAGCAATTGCTTATGGAAGGTTAGCTTGATCTTACTTTACACGCGGATAGTTTGATGGGTCTTGGAAAACTGGCGTTTGTTTCCAAGAGACCGTTGGTTTTCGGTATGGCTATTTCGTGGTTGATATTCAATATCGTAGGCTATTGTATTCCTAATTAGAAGAGGAAGAAAACTAATGGATGATAGTTTGTACAAGCAGCTATTGCAGCTATCAGTCTAACATATGGTTTCGATACCAGCACAGAGAGTTATCTATTCACACCCGGCAATGTTATAATTCCAAATATGAGACATTTCTCCAATACCACCAACCCTCAATTTGAAGATGAAGAATACACAGCTCACGCTTATGGGGGTTTAGCTTGGAATCTCGGAATCGGCAGCTCGATTGACGACCTTCCAGCCCAAGGAGACATCTACCAAGGACTCACTAGCAACTATAGCATATGGCAAGACCAACTTAACAACAAAATGGTCTTCGTATTCACCGAATCTTCTTCTTCTGCATCCACCCAGAAAACCGGTTCATTAAGCGTCTACACCAAGCGAACTCTCGAAATGAATTACTCCTGTTCCTCCTACAAAGTCACACACTTCAACGACACAACCGGCTATCTCAACACCAGCAACCCGGACATCAATCCCATCTATATAAGTTCCTGGGCTCCCAACGCCACCACCTTCTTCACCGAAGGCGACTATCTCTGTCCGGACACTCCCCGCTGTTCCGTAATTCAAGCCCTCGAAACCAGCGACATCAACACGCAATGGTACTACAGCTGCAACATCACCCTCTCCAAAACCCTCCACGACGAGAAAAACATCTCCTACATCAGCGACGCCATGTCGTGGGTCTCCGCCGCCGCCATCGCAAACACCGGATACACCTACGATACGAACTACCAACAAACCTCATCGTACCCGCAGAAAACCATTTGGGGCACCCCCATGCACGGTAACTCCTCTCTGATCGGTTCTCAAATCACCGCGTTCGGACTGACCTCGCTCTCCCTCGCCGCCGCCTTCAACCCCTCTTCCTCCTACCAAGGACTCGAGCCGCACACGGGCTTCGCCCTCGGCATAAACCATACGTATTTTTTCCTGCTGATCGTATTTCTTATCCCCCTGGTGCAGTTTGTCATGTGTTTCGTGGTCGCCGTGTGGAGTAATTCCGTGCAGGTGGGGGATGATGCGTATATAGGGATGAGTTTGCTGTTGCGACCAATTGCGGATGCGCTTTTTGGGGTGAGCGGGGGAGTGGATAATAGGGCGTTTAGGGAGGCGAAGAAGAGGGTCTTGGTGAGGTATGAGAGGGGGGTGGATGGGAGGTGGGGATTTGCGATGAGTTGAGTTGGTTTTGGGGGAGGGGAGGGGATGGGGGAAATTAAGATTTTCTTTTCTTTTCTTTTTTGATCATTTTTTTATAGCGGGTTTGGGAAGGGGGATTATGGGGATTGGATTTGGTGATGTGGTATGATTGGATTCTTGGAAGGATATAATGATATGATATGGTTTGGATGGGTTCAATTGTGATATTACACTGTTGGTCTATGGAGACTGCTAATATTTGCTGATAGCCTTTATACATGACATACAATATCCACATAATAAAAAGCAAATCTTATTTGATATCCCTATATTGCGCATACCTTCGATTGTCCACCATTGTTGAATGATGAGTTCGTAATACAAGTCATTTGAATTCCACCAAAACCTCATGCGCTATCTCTTCTCCTGCTATGCGCCTCAAACCCTCACTTCCAGAATATTACGACACCAGGAAACAACCAGCGAACGCCAAAAAAGCTCCCAACGACGGATGACTGTCCAAAATCACTCAAAGTAATGCATCACACCATACTCATCCATCTCCAATGTTGAAGTCGCAGAACCAAGGACGAATTGACTTTCTTGTGTCCAAATATCAAATCCCGCACGTCCGTAGGTAATTGGTTGAGTACCATCCCAGATATCCTCCATTTCCAACCGAAACTCACTTTTTTCTTTCTTTTCGAAAAGTCTAACTTTTTCCATGAAGCAATAGCCTGCATAAAATGCCAGAGATGTGTTTCCAGCTTTTGGTCCGGTTTTTGACATGAAGGATTTGAGCTGTGCGGGTGTTACTCTCTGGTCGTCCAGTGATTTCGATAGTGCGCGGCAAAATGCGGCTTGACTGACACCTGTTTCATCCAAATACTCCTGGATTTTTTCTCGAAGCGAGTCGCAAGTATCGTATACTTCCATCGCACCATACTCCTCATCCTCATCATCATCCAGCCCAATGTTTGCAATAGCATCCATTATTTCCTCGTTCAGAACATTTCTTTTCTTCTTTTTTGGGAAGCCTTCTTCCTCTCCATCTGGGGCCCTTTTAGTCCCTGATGAACTTGTTTGCTTAGTTTTTCCATTCGAGCTAGCCCCATCTCTTCTTTCTTTTTCCAATTCCCGAAGCAAGTCCCAACTTCTTCGACAAACTTCATTCTGACTTCCCTCCTCTTTGGACATACCAAAGGCGGAAACCATAAACTCATCAAAATCTTCCTGCGATACGCCGATTAAGTCACAAAGTTTGTAACCAAATCCCATGAAGCCATTGCGGTATATTTGTAACTCGAACTGGACTGCTGAAGGAGTGTATTTATTGTCTTCCTTCCCAAATCCCTTTTCGTCTGCCATTAGAATGCTTCTGAGCTTTTCGCGGCAACGCTTTGTTTCTTGGTCCGTAAGGACAGATTTGGCTGTCTATGTAATGTTAATAAACGAGGGGATGATTGGTGTGACTAAAATACATACTGATTTTGAGTTGGATTTAGAGGTCGACGCAATTGTTGTGGTGTTCTCGGGTTCGATCACAGCATTCTCATTATCTTCAGCTCGATTGCGCCGGCTACCAGTAGCTCTTCCATTGGACCTTTTACCTGCAGCTTGAGAACTCGATTTTGACACAATTTCTTCATCCAAATCACCGTTATCGATACTGCGATCATCCTGAGTCTCGGCATTCTCACTGATTGGTAATTTGTCGGAGCTTTGCGATGAACCTCCTACTTTAACCACATCAGGTCTTTTGTTTCCAGGAATCTCTTTCTCGGGTTTTCTCGATACAAACGAACCTCTTTGAGGAGGGTTCTTCTGCTCTTCAAGTGCATTTGTAATGAACTTTTGTATGTCTCGGCGCAGGACGGTATAATCCGGTGCTTTGGTTGGATCCATATACATAAAAAATGTATCATGATATGCTTCAGTCACACCTAGTGCCATCCATTCTTTACACAGCTCATGACTTAGACGACAACGCTCCAATTCCATGTCTATCAAATGACCATATTTTTTGAAATCGACCGCAGTATCATCATCTTTGGTTTTGTTTGCCTGTTTATTGTTAGAATGAATGAGGATACAACTTGCATATGTGTATGACTTACTTCCATGATTGGCAACATAGAGCCTCGGTCTTTAGAAGGAATCGATGCATTGGGTGTTGCTTCAGCCAAAGGTTTTTTTGATCGTGGCATGTCTGATCGATTTGGTGTGAGATAAGTGACTGTTTGTTTACTTTCACTCTTTCAAAGGTTACGCGACGTGAATATGCGTAACACTTCGACTTGATATCTTATTTGAGATGCTTTTCAAATTTATTCAAAATCGAGCATTTAACAATTTACAATCCGAAACAAAATATTCAACATCTGATGGAAAGTAAAGTAAAGACTTTGAGAGATTCAAGTACCTCCAGCTACCTAGGTAATCATTTCTCTCCCCCTACAAAAGAGAGTGAATTCGTTCCCTTGTATACCTACCTACCTAGGTAGTCCCCATAAAAGTTATGCATGTACTCATAATTTAATGAAAACATGATTGGAGCTGGAGATCTCACGATTGTATTGATTCCATACCATACCAGGTAACCTTAATTACCTACCTAGGTAAGTGAAGTAGTCAAGTGAACTGGGTAATACATAGGATAAATGAATCAATACGGCTGAGAAACATAAGAGAATATAGCATTCAATGAGGTGTAGGTTCATCAGTGACCAATATCACATGACCTGACCTGACCAGAATCAAGTGACCAATCTTACTAGACTTTAAGTTACTCGGGATGCAGCTAATAATTTTATACAGTTTGTTTCAAGCTTTTTATCGCCCTATTATAGTCATTTAGAAATGAAATGAAAATGGATATATACGGTGCTCCAAGACTTCTCGCAAATGCTCTCAAGATTGTAAAAGATCGGAAGTGTTGGGTACATAAACACGTGTAGATGTGTCGGATGCATTAGTAATCAGTCGGACTCGCCAAAAGCGGTGAATACTTAAAGTGGTTTTTGACGCGCGCTGGGAGTTTGTCGCGTTTTCTGCCTAATTAACTTTCACTGGCTAGGTTCACCAAGTCATATTCTCCAACCACGCGAGTATCTACAGGACAAATTACAAATTACCAAAAACCTTTCCGGTGTTCAAGCATCTTCTCAACGAATAGAAGATGGGTTTCGGTACAGCTGCTATTTCATCTTCACGATAGCTGCGATCTTGCAGCCATGGTACCGCCATCTTCAACTACTGCAAAATCAATTAACACTGAGCCGAGACCTTCAACTCCCACTGAGCCTGAATCCAGTGAGCCTCGACATCCCTGGTTCCGATTCTTTTTGAATTCAAAAGACAAATCACCTCGAAAGCCTAAAATAAATACTCCAGACTCATCTGCGGATCTCATCAGTACACCATCGACTACCAGGAAGAAAGTAGGCTGGTCCGAAAAGTACGATTACAAAGATCCTCCTAGAATTATCACCGATCGAAAGACACTATCTGCACAAGCTCTATCGCCTTTGACACCATCAGCGGAGCGAAAAGCGACGAAATCAATACTGAAGACACACCATGTTCCTGACCCTACACAAAATATTGTGCCTTCCGAAGGTGACGACACGACATTAACCTCAAAACCTCTGATACTGGATGCTAGAATGTTGGAATCAATATCGAAACAATTAGCTGGGAAAGACAGGGGATCAAAGCTAGATGCATACACGACCTTATCGGGCGCCTTGAAGGCTTGCGACAATGTTCCGGATAGAAAGGCTTTGTCAGACAAGATGGACTTGATACTTCAATTCATAAAGCGGGACCTAAATGCCAAGCTTGAAACTGGGGCTCTTGATACTCAACTTGCGAAAGAGGCTTTAGTACTCATGTCTAGCTTTCTTTACAAGAAGTCAATCGCAGATATGCTGACCCCCGATTTCAATGGCTATATTGTGGACTACGCCTTGAAGACTTTTGAGAATCCTGGAATGTCAAAGGAGATTGTCAGGCATCTGATGTTTATAATTGCACAGCAAAAGTTCTCGGCAAGGATCATGACAGCTGATAGGGTTACAAAATTGATATCTGCGATTCACAACATCGAGGATTATGTGCGAGGCAAAAGCATCGTAGAACAGCGCATCAACATCTACCGAACTTTTCTTAGGCAATCCAGAGCTCACATGATTTCCAATTCAGATTGGCTTGGAGATCTCTTCAGCGATATGCTCAACAGCTATTCAAATATACAGACTGCTGCTATTGCGTTTGGTGAAGAGGCTGGCCTTGAACTCGGGACGGAGAGCAAAATATCTTCAAAAGTCACAGAGATTTTCAAAGGATCGGATGGAAAGGATGTCAAGTATGTCGAATTTTTTGCCGATAGACTGCGAAGTATAGCAAAGAAACCTTCAAGCTCCACACCACGTATTTGGGCGGCCGTCATATTATTTCTCCGTGCCCGACCTAAACAGCTAGAGCACTGGGCTTTTATCAAAATATGGCTTGACGTGATCAAAGTCTGCTTCAATTCCAGTGACCAAAACACAAAATTGGCAGCAAATCTGGCGTGGAACCGCATGGTATTTGTAATAACTTTAGAGGAAAAGGTCTCTTTCAGTATGGTTAACACATTGAGCCAACCCTTGATTTTACAACTTCCAAGAAAAGATGTTCGTAAAATCTCAAACTCCGACAACCTGCATCGCAAGTCAACTCTGAGCAGTATTTGCAATTTATTCTATTACTCGGTGAAGCCAAATACAACGCAAGCCCAGCTTGATACATTCTGGGACACATATATAATTCAGATCGTCCGGGATAAACTTATTCCCACTGACTTTGTGGAGAATCCCGCATTGGCTAAGCAGGATTTGGGTGACGCGTGCAATATCCTTTGTGGTTTGTTCAATGCGCATACCCAACGACCCTGGGTACCAACCAGAGCTCTGAATGATAATGCTGTCACACCTCGAGAGCTTCCAGGACTTGATCCGCGATGGCTACGTAAAAGTGCATCTCGAGTCTTCTCTGTTCTGAGTCCACTTATGGAGCTGCTTTTTTGGGAGCTTGCTCTCCCCAAAAGCAGAATATCACTTCTTTGGGAAACTTACATTTTCTCAATCTCATCCGCAGCGGCAAAAGAGGTGAAAACATCGAATGATACCATGTCATGCCTTGCTTTTCTTTTCAGCACATTGTACAAAATTTGGCAAAAGGGACCAGATGGCTTGCATACATTGACATTTCATCGGAAAAACGAAGCAAACTTTTTGGCTAGCTTTCAAGTTATTGTAACTATTGCTATAAGTGGTTTGGGGGTATTACCATTTACCGAAAGGCTCCTATCCATGGGGCAACAAGACGATTTCATTGTCGTTGCAACCCCTTCACATCGACCCGGAAAAACAAAAGGCGATATTAGATCACCACTTCATCATCTATTCCTTCTAATTTCTAGCCCTCCTCTCGGCTTTAAGCATGATGTAAAATTTTCAGAAATGGCTGAAGCCATACTTATGCCCTTTTTCGAAGCCCGACGTTCGAGTAAGGGTAAAATGGATTTGGTCAAGGACCTTCTAGAAATTCTTCCAACGGATAATACTGAGTCGTGCGGAACTCTTTGGTCAATTCTTGCAAAACTTGCTACAGCCGCGATAAATTTTCGAGACGACGGTGTCGTGACTAGCACCATTCATGATTCTCGTCCTCTTGGCGCTGAATATCGCAGCGTTGCAAGAATTCTCGACGTCGGGATTGACCTATCACCAAAGGAGCCTTTGAAAGGATGGGAAGATCTCTTTCAAGCTTTGGTAACCTCTGCGACCACTGACTCGGGGCACGGAGGCAGAGCTATCGTTGTTATTGAGCCAATAGCCAAGACATTGGTCTCAAATTGGCGACCGGATGACGAGTATTGTGGTAATAAAGTAGCATACTGCCAAATCCTAGTCAAAGAAGCATCATATCCGAAAGACCGACAAGCTTTGGACGCAGCTCAGAGGCGTCTTTGGGGAAGTGCAACTGCTGGTCCAAAAATTCACATCTTCGATCCGTATTCCCAACTATACCAATATATTTCTCGTTGCTTAAGATGTTCATATACGGAGCTTTCATCCAATGATCATATCACTATATGTGGTCTTCTTAGTGAGGTTGAAGCGCTTTTAGTACGATGTCCAAAAGTTTTGTTTGGCGAAACTTTGACTCAACTACAAAATGGGATCATTTGCTGGATAAGCGACGAAGAGGCAAAACTGCATGGTGGAAGTGATTTATCCCGAACCGTAAGTTGGTGTCTCCCGATCAATCAAATAGCAATGCTAACTACGTAGGTTAATTCTCTCTGGAATAAGATCTGCTCATTGTTGAGTTCTACTGATCTATCAAAATTGTTGAACAATCTTGAGCCATTATTGTGCGCTGGCTTGGGAAGTAAGCGTGTTTATGTTGCAAACTCAGCCATAGAAATGTGGAAAGATGCATTTGGTTCTTTCAAGGGTGACTTACAGTATCCTCCCCTGGTCAAAGAAGTTTTGTCTAGACTCCTCCCGATCACGGACCTCTCCCTTGCATCATTATCCGAAAGCTCCGAAAATCAAATATCAAACAATCATAGGCAACCTCTCGATATTCTTGATACGCAGACAGACACCAACATCTCCAATGAAGCCAATCTACCAAAAATTCCGAACAAAGCTCCTTCGTCCAGTGTGATTCAAGCACACCAGCAAAAATCGATAGATTCATCTCCACGAGTTATTATTGAAGTCAGTAAGGCGGCATCTCGCAAGAGGTCTCGTGAGACAACACCGGAACCTGGGAAGAGGAAGTCAAGGAAGAAGGGTTTCGTTGCTAAGTTACGACATGACGACTCCCAAATTCAATTCGAAGCGATTGCTGGCTCCTCTCCCTTTTCGGAAACAACGTATGACTCACAACTTTTGACCGAACGGCAGAAAGAGGTCAGAGAGAGACAAGCTGAAGAAGCAGCCATGTTCTCAGACATCAGGTCTAGCCCTCACCTGAGCTCCAAGCTAACTCCCAAGCATGCCGACAACGACCTTGAACTACCTTCCCGTCAATCAGCTTCAAAGTTGCTCTTAGAAACACCAGCCAATAGTGAAAGGCAAAGCACGCCCGATACTAAAATTGTCGAAAACCAGGATACGTTCCTAACATCATCGCCCACTCCAGCACGTCG